CATCTTTATCTTTCTGTACTCAGTGATATATATATATATATATATATATATATATATATATATATATATATATATATATATATATATATATATATATATATTTGGGCATTTGTCCTCTCACTCCACATGGGAGCGGGGTCGCCAGTACAGGAGGCGCATGCCAGAACTCCTCAGTAGAGTTTGTATGCCCTCCCTGTGCCTGCTCCAGTTTCCTCTGGTTCCACTACCTTTAAAATGAAAAACAGTCTACTAACAATCGCAAAACGCTTTTTAACCTTTTACTTGTTGACTCCTTGTAGAAATTTTTGTTGTTGTTGGATTTTCTAAGTTGTGGGAGCAACCCCCTAGTTTTTTATTATAGGGGCTCGAACAAAAGGTTGAGATGCAGTTTGATTTTAAAAGTACCTAAAACCAGGTGATAAAGATTCTCCAAAAAGGACTAGGTTTGTGAACAAGTGTTACCTGAACTGTTACCTGAAGAAGTGCCACATACTGTGTTAGTGGGAAGAGGCTCCACGCCACGCCAGACCCAGCAGTCCTCCAGGATTCAGAGCCTTGTGTTACTGCTACTGTCGCACTTTTTGATCTTCCCTGGCAGTTCTCTGTGATATTTCTGCACAGTTTACGGTCACCCACGTGCAGATACCATTGCGCTCACTCCAACACAGTGATTTTTCGCTGGTGACTTCAATAAATGTAACTTAATTGAATGCCAGCCTATTTCAGAACAGGTACTCCCACAGTGCCAGCCATTTCTGATGATTTTTACTGATTTTTCAAGACCCACAGAATATTGTGTACTATGAGATAAAAATTCTAAAAGAATGGACTGTCTACTTTCCTCAGCAAAAAGAATTTTGTTTATAGCTTTTTTCGTTCCCCTGTAATCCTCCGTTGAGTAGAGGGAAGTTTTACTGAAATCACCAGAAATCACCAGAAAGTTGAGAAAAAATAGGCACAACATGTGCACCTAACTGTTTTCAAACCATTCAGAGAGAAATGATGCCACCTGCTGGCTCGATAAAATATGGTCTCAAGTCATCCCCATACATATTAGATACAATAGACATCTGGGAACGTGAAAATAGCGAAAAAGGCATTTGACGTATTAATGCGTCAATGGCACACGACGTTACTATTTGCTTTGACGTATTTGTGCCTCAATGGGACACAATGAGTTTTAAGGACAGTCCTTTCCGGCTATTATCAGCAAGTGACTCATCCTCCACCAGGAGCACTAAGTCTGGTTCTACTTGAAGGCCTTCTCCCTCTGTCTACACAAAGGACCACACAATATAAACCTATTTCTCGCCCGAACACAAACCAAATCAGAGCAATTTTAAACATGTTTAAGCCCGTCTCTGTACTCACTGTGTTGTTTTATGACATTATGCTTTCTGCAACTGAACTTTACCAATCCCATACTTTGTGGGGGAGACAGCGAATTATGTTAGTGTTGTCTCTGACAGATGTCTCCAGGACAAAACCTCTGGATCAGAGTTAATTCTCTCCTCTCCACGTGTCCTCCAATCTGTGCATTCCAGGTGCCACGATATTGTCACAGGGAGGTTTGTTTTGCAAAGAAAAAGTGGAGGTAGTGTCGCGGCGCGGTAACACTGTGCCCCGACGCTACATCCAGCCTCCGACACTTGTGCCTCCCCATAATCGCAGGGACAATAAGTGGAAGAGGAGCCTTTGTCAAATAAAACTGGGTAGGGTCTAGCGTAGGACAGAGACAGTCACAGTGACACTCGGCAGGCACGTGTGACTTGGCAGACGAGCAGCTGAGTACACATGGGGTAGATTTACTTTCCCTGAGCATTTAGGATGGTACAATGTGAGTTCAGTTTGTGTGTTTGTGTCCTCGTGATTTGTATGTCTGTCATACAAACCCTGACAAAAAACAGTACATGGAAATTCTGAACTCTTAATATGTAAATTAGATGGGTAAATTAATACCTACATACACTTTGGGCCATTCCTAATATATTTTCAATTGGCAAAAAGCCTCTAGCTCTTATCACTTTTAAGTCCTAGCCTTTTGAAATTAAGATGTCAAAATTGGTTGTTTTAGCCAAAAAACAGAGATGCCTAAACACAATCTTCAGGGTCTTTATGTCCTGTTGGGGCCACTCAATCCAACTTGGATATTAAACATTTTGTCTGATGAGAAGAAAGCCTGTCCTCTGTTTTCTGGTAAATTGGATCTGCACTCGGGTTGCATCCTTGTACATCCATAACACTGAAGCTGCATTATAAGTGGGGTGCACATAAGTGGTACGCAGGTACGCATGCGCGACAAATATCAGAAATGCGTACTATCAGTTGAGTTAGTAAGCGCCTTTGCGTAGTTCACATAGACTCTCTGTGGGGCGCTCCTCCCGAGAAGGACGTGGTGTGAACTTGTTTTTTGTGTGCTAATTTCGTTGTATATACGCTCTGCACTGCCTTCACCATTTTTTGCACTCTGGGAGTATAGAAAATAAACCCACCTAAGCACTGGACACCGAGCTCGCCTGTTTTATCAAACAGAACATTGTTTGATTTTTTGTTTTGTTTTGCATTTTTAGGAAAAAGCCCTGTGAGTCATTATTTGACATGGGTTGAGTGGATTATCCGAGCTTATATAAACTTTGGCATTACAAAGAAGCAAGTATAAAATCTCGATTAAGAACCGCGCGTCAAATGGAGTGAGTACCAAACACTAGAGCTGCAACTAACGATTATTTTGTAATCGATTAATCTATCGATTATTTTTACGATTAATCGAGTAATCGCTTGGCTGTGAATTGTGTAGAAAAAAAATATTTTTTCATCACAAAAAGATAAAGTGGCAACACTCGAGGACGTATTGATGGCGTAAACTTAAGGTAAATGTTTGTAACAGGCTCTTTGTGCTAATTCTGCTATCTGATTGGATGAGACAGATATTCATGAAATTATAAAAACAAAGTTGGTTTTAATCAAAAATACTATATTTTCATGTCATTTTTGCTCTGTTTGAGTCCGTGTGAACCAGAAAACGATTAATCGATTACTAAAACAGTTGTCGACTATTTCAATAATCGATTAGTCGTCGATTAATCGATTAGTTGTTTCAGCCCTACCAAACACTCTGTCCTGGTACTCATCTGAGGACCTCACTGAAAAAGTTATGTGCACCCCTGATTAGAAGGGCTGGATTGTTTTGCTTTCACTTCACTTTGTCTGCCATTTTGTCTTTCACATATAGAATTATGGGGTATGCATACTTTTTCATACACCCCAAACTCATTTTGACAGCGCTGATGATTCTCTCACCAGAATAAGATTAGTTCGTATTGCCATTGTAAGCAACCAGAAGTCACAAACTGGGAATTTGCTTTGGCTCAAGGTGCAATCAAGATGTTGCTGGGGCATTGGCATTCAGGAGATAGCACCAAAGCTAAGTCCCATTGATGCAGCTAATATTGAAATTGTAGTATTAAACATATCTGGTCTTGATACTGCTGAAAGATCAAGGCTGTTTCACAATTGACGGAGCAGCCATATTCCTGTGGACTCACCACCTGCAGAAGATCAGCGAGGGACTGGTGCTATGAGCGTTGGGTGGCAGCTCTCATTGCCACCACTGCCAACCCAGAAATGGACAAAGGAGTTGAAAATGAAATGAAATGAAATGGTCTTGATACTCTGTAAAAATCCATCTATTAATCTAAGTAAATACAATTATAGAAATCCGAACAACTTGCACACACTATTGTAACTTCAAAACGTTTGATGCCTTTTCCCGTTCCTTCAGTCTGTATCCGTATAATGCAGGACACAGAACACTCACACTGTGGCGTTTGGAGATCTGCCGGAGCCTTGGCACAGTGATCTCATCTAGCCAGATAATACATATGCAGAGCAAGTCGGATTTATAGTGCTGTAGTTTTACCGCAGTGAAGTGTCCTTACGTGACTCCACTCTCAACTGTGCTGAACCAGCAGCCGGCCAAATTCTCATTGATTTGAAAGACATCAAATCATATAAAAAACGCACTTGAAAAGGAATGCATCTTTGGAGAAACGCTTGGTTCCACATCAGCTTTTGTTTAATAATACTGTAATAAAACTTCAATGCAATCATTCTTAGATTCTAGCAGGAGATTTTACTTGTGGCAATAAACTTTGTCACAAGTAAATCAAGGTTTCAGTAGCTCTGTGATTCTAGTGTTACAGATTTGATTCCTTCTTCCACAAAGGAGGAATGTGTTCTCGGGCAAGACATCGACTCAAGTCATGGCATAAAGCAGGGGGTCTAACCTGTCCTCAAAAGGTCAGTTTAGCCTCTGGTTTTAATTCCAGCCAAGCAGGAGCAAACCAGACTCCAGCCATTTAATCAAATCTTCAGGTTAAAACTGGATTCATTGTTTATTGTTTATTTGCTTGGGACAGTGAATGTTAAGAACACACCTCCGGATTGTAGCCTTGGGCTGATATTCATCAACACACTTATTCACCCTGAACTGTTGTGCATGTTTTCCAGTGGTAGGGAAAACTGAAGCACCTAGAAGAAACCAAAGCACCCAGAGGAAACCGGAGCACCCAGAGAAAACCGAAGCACCCAGAGCATGTAGTGGAATGGAACCTTCTCACTATGATTCTCAAGCGCTAACTGCTGCGTCACCGTGCCGCCCGCCTTACTTGAGGAAAAGGGTGGAGTCTGCAGCCTCACTGGCCCTTTCTAACACTCCTGGCTTTAAGGATGAATAGTTCCTTGTGTACCCAATAGGGTTGGAGAAAACATTGGCACCATTTTTTTTTTTTTTACCACAAAACTATATCATAAAATCCCCAATTCCTAATTTTATTTTATCACTAGTTTTCAAATGCATGTATTAATAGCCTCTGTCACATCTTTAGATCAGCTTTTCAGTAAAAAGTACCAGGCCTCACTCAGCCCACTAAATCTCAGTATGTACAAGATTAAATGTTTGTTTAAGACTTGTTTAAGACCTTGTTTAAGTTGGATTTCAAATGATTCGTGTTTGTGCAGTCATTATTCCTCTTCGTTCAAGCCACCTTTGTTGCAAGAGTCCCACGCCCCCAACGCACAACCCGCTGATCAGCGCTCACGTCTCATTGGCAGGTACAGTATAACAAAAACAAATCTAGTGTTTGGAGGCATGAACTGTATCTCTCCGTAGGTGGGAATATAGAGCTGCTCTCAGTCATTTGTCTTCTGGGGGGAAAATACTTTGTGGTGCTTCTAAACTACATCCAAAGTATAAAAAAGGGCTTTAAGGCTGTAATCCAAATTCTTGAAATTATTTCAGACCATTTTCAGATAATGCAATAGCAATCACATTACGTTTCTCACTGTGGTACAAATCTTTTGCAAAACCTGAACCAATTTCAGTCAAAATCAATCTCAAATCTGACATAGTCCAACTAAAAATAAAATATGTCTCGGTTCGAGTTCTGACTTGGACCTAGATTGGTTCTGTGTCAAAGCTTGGCTGGTATTTCTCCCTGTGATTTGAGTTTAGTCCCACTCCCTGCATTCACTGGGTGGTTATGTGACTGATTTGTATGATCTCTAATCATGACTACAAATTAATCGATTCCACATTTTTTGCGTTGAAATGCAACTTGTTAATTTACACATTAGATTATGCCATGGACTGTATATCAGGAGTGGACAAATCGAGTGCTGACGTCATTATGGTGTTTGCAGAATGCATAAGAAGCTGGTTTCGAAATTAAGCTAGCTGGAGCCAATTTCCTTTTATGGGCATTTATTTCGATGGGGTTCGCTTTGCGTAACAGACACTCGATGGTTACTTACATTTATGGATAGTTACCACCACTTATGGACATTGGTCGTCTACCCCATATGGACCAATACCAATGTGTTTTATGATTCATTGTTTGAAAACTTTGATTCTCTAATTTGTGTTGGCAAATTCAACAGTTGTATAAAGTCCACAAATAACTACTGTTTTGATTTAAGGCAAGCTAGGGTTTCTCACGTAAATGAAGGCGTTTGATTGGTCAACCATTGGGGCTCGTACTTAGATGTACAAGGACAATGTCAAAATTAAAACACAGATGTTTATGCCCATTATGGTGGGTGTGGCACCAACGATAACTTTTTTAATGTAAGTCAGGAGTCGTTCCTTTTTGGACTTCATTGAGTGAGGAGGATAGCATTGTCCATCTAAAGTCTATAGATTATAACTACAATAATCATTTTAAATGCATAAAGTCTATGTAACTCTCTTTTCTGTGGAAAGTTTTTTAGATTTGCCTTGGAGAAAATCAGGAGATATGCCATTGTTGCCCAATAACCAACGCAAAGTGACTTACTCTAATTACAACACTGCACAACATTAGCATATGTAATTCCTCTGCTTATACGAGCCTCTGCCAGCACTAGTCTCTCTCAAATGGCGTGCATAAGTATCTCCACTCATTACCCAGAGCAGATTCTGTAGGCTTAGAATGCTACCGTCTGCAGTTCCTCTGATTTGGACGAGAGCAGATGGTTCTGTGCTTCTGTGTTTACGTATCTCTCCCCATTACTCACAGCCACTGCACAAACGTGAGGGAAAAAATAAATACATTCAAACATTCCCTGTCTGTTTCTGCGGGGCCTTTCCACGTCCCGCCGAAGTCCCGACCTCAAAACTTTAATAAGGTCACGTCGTCTGATAGAAGGAATGACAGTGAGTGATGAGGGAGCAAACATGAAGGCCAGATGCACACATATATTTGAACTGTGTTTCAGCAATGTCGCATGTAGTTCATACTTTTAGAAGGCGTTTGAAAGTATGTTATGTGACTGTATGTACTGTATATGTGACTTTTCATCAGGTACAGTCATAGTGGATGTATCCATAGTACACTGTGATATGAAACTATTGGTTCCTTCAATGCGACAGTGGCTCAGTTGGCCTTTGAGCCTGAAGGTTGTAGGTTTGAGTCCACCACGAGACCTTCTTCACTGATTCCCTCTGATGTCTGCTGTCGTTGTGTCCTTGGGCAAGACACTTAACCCACTTTGCCTATAAGGAGCTTGGAAATAATGTTCTCTGCTTGCCTTGAGGAGTGTGTATGCAATGTATCAAACTGAGGTTTCCCCATTGTGGGAGGAATAAAGGACCTCTTCTTCTTCCAAGTCACTTTCTATGGAAATATTCAGATTCATTTTATTTGCCATCTGCAGTAAAACCATATTGGAATACATTTGCGAAAGACCCCAGTGTACACAAGACAAGTGCATAAATAAAACATGGTCAAAAACACATGAATAAAAATTAGCTGGAAACAAGTAACACTGTGAAACGGATCAACTAAAACTTTGCTGTGCTTCGTGCTTTGTTTAAACCATGGGTGTCAAAGTCAAGGCCAGAGGACCGGATCCGCCCACAAATTAATTATCTTGGCCCCCAAGAAGAAATTTGAATAGTATTAGATGAAAATGTTGGATTATTCATTTAATGTTCAGGACGTGTGTTTTCTCTTTGAAATTTGGTACAAGGTCTTGGTAATAGGTGGATGATAGGGATTCTTTACTAAAGACATGTTGTAACAAGTACCAGCGCCGGTTGCTTTTTAGCAAATGTTGGGTCGTGTTTGGGTCAGCTGATGGGGGGGGTAATTTTGTGTCGAGCTTTGAAATCGGGCTGTTTTGAACTAGATAAAGCAGCTTGTTATGGAGAAGATGGTGTTTATGAGCTTACGCCTGCGTTCCTATGAATCTCGATATTAACGTTACATTTAAATTTTGGGATGGTGGTTTAGTTGATATATATATTATGAGAATAATATAATAAAGAATATAGGGCGGTGTGGGGTAGTTCATCAACATATTATTGGGGGTGTAAGGGTTAAAGTGGGTATTAATGTAGATTGGGAGTATTGTGATAGAAGGGGGTTTGTAGAATTTATATGGGGGTGGGGATTTAATGTAGTATTCGAAAGTATAGATGTTTATTGTTTTATGATTTGTTTTTTGATGGATTGTGAGGTTGTTATAGATGGATGTTAATGGGAATGGGGAGTGGAGAGGGGGGTGTTAAGGGGGGGGTGGGTGGTGTGGGTGGGGAGGGGTGATTTTTAGGGGAGGTGTATTGGTTTGATAGGGATAAGGTTTGAAGTAGGTGGGGGAGGATGGGTGGGTTGGATATTTATAGGTGTTAAAGGGAGAGTTAGGGGAAGGTGTGTGGGTAAGGGGGGGGGTGGAGAAGGATTGGTTTGGGTGTGGGGATTTTTGGGATTGGGGGGAAGGGATTGGGGTTTGGTGGGTGTTTTGGTGTTGTTGGATTTTGGTTTGGGGGTGTGGGGGGGGTGGGTTTGGGGGTTTGGTGTGGGGGGTGGTTGGGGGTGTTTGGGGGTGTGTGGTGTTGGGGTGGGGTGGTTTTGGGGGTGGTTGGTTGGTGGTTTGTATGGGTGGGGGTTTTTTGTGTGGTGTTGTTATGAGGATGATGTTGTTAAGTTGTGGTGGGGGTGTGTGGGTGGGGTGGTTGTGGTGTGTTGGGGGTGGGGGTGGGGGGTGGTAGGGTTGTGGGTGTGTGGGGGGGGTGGGGGGGGTGTGGGGGTGGGGGGTGGGGGGTGGGGGTGGGTGGGGGGTGGGGGGGGGGTGGGGTGGTGGGTGGTGGGGGGTTGGGTTGGGGGGGGGGGGGGGTGGGGGGGGGGGGGGTTGGGGGTGGGGTGGGTGGGTGGTGGGGGGGTGGTGTGTGGGTGGTGTGGTGGGGTGGTGGTGGGGGTGGGGGTGTGGTGGGGGTGGTGGGGGGTGGGGTGGGTGGGGGTTGGTGGGGGTGGGGGGGGGGTGGTGTGGGGGGGGTGGGGGGGGGGGTGGGGGTGGGGTTGTGGGGGGGTGGTTGGGGGGGTGGGGGGGTGGGGTGGGGTGGGGGGGGTGGGTGGGGGTGGGTGGTGGGGTTGGTGGGGGGTTGGTGGGGGGGGGTGGGGTGGGGGGGTGGGGGTGGGGGTGTGGTGGTGGTGTGGGTGTGGGGTGGGGGTGGGGGGGGGTGGTGGGGGTGGGTGGGGGGTGGGGGTGGGGGGGTGGGTGGGTTGTGGGGTTGGGTGGGTGGGGGGGGTGGGGGGGGGGGGGTGGGGGGTTGGGGGGGGTGGGGGGGGGTGGGGGGGGGTGGGGTGGGTGGGGGTGGGGGGTGTGTGGGGGGGTGGGGTGTGTGGGGGGTGGGGTGGGGGGGGTGGGTGGGTGGGGGGTTGTGGTGTGGGGTGTGGGGGTGGGTGGGGGGGGGGTTTGGTGGGGTGGTGGGGGGTGTGGGGTGGGTGGGGGGGGTGGGGTGGGGGTGGGGGGTGGGGGTGGTGGTGGGGGTGGGGGGGGTTGGGTGGTGGGGTGGGGGGTGTGGGTGGGGGGGTTGGTGGGTGGGGGTGGTGGGTGTGGGGGGTGTGGGGTGGGGGTGGGTGGTTGGGGTGGGTGGGTTGGGTGTTGGGGGTGGTGGGGGGGGGGGTTGGGGGGTGGTGGGTTGTGGGGGTGGGGTGGTTGGGTTAGGGTGTTGGGGGGTTGGGGTGGGTTGGTGGGTGTGGGGTGGGGTTGGGTGGATTGGTTATGGGGTGGGTGATGGATGTTATAGTATGGGGGGGTTGTGTGGGTTTTGGAAATGGATATGTATTGGTATGTATATTTTATTATGTTTTTATTTTTTTTTGTTGTATTTGGGGTTTGTTATGTTTATTTGGGAATACGTGAATTACTCAACTTCAAACGGCTGCGGCACAGCTGCCTCAGGAGACTCTACCAATCAAAAATCTATATTTTTTTTGCAAACTGGGAGACATAAAGGCCATTTATTAAACATAGCCCAACCTTGAATATACCAGGGCCAAACCAGGTCGAACAAGGATTATATTAAAATGACATGATATAAGCAGAAGTTAAAAACCCTGTCAGTATACTCATTTTGCCTCGTTACCTCTCACTCACCCCTCATCCTTCCACCATTGGTTCGGTTGAGTCTCCTCCCGTCCTCAGCAGGGGTGTCATGCTTCCTCTGGCACGTGAGCTCGGCCCGGATGTCTGCGCGGGCTGCGGCGGGGAACTAGGTCACGCAGAGCCACAGAGAAAGGCAGAAAACAAGCAGAAGAGTGGAGCGGAGTTAGGGATAAGGAAGAGCGAGAAGCAGAGTGCCAGACATTAGCAAAGTGTGCAGCGGGGATGAGAGCACTAAGGTGAAGTGAGGGCCTTGGGAGAGAGGCTTATATCTACTGGACAGGAAAATGGAAAGCACAGGCGAGGAAAAGTGGGGGTGGGGGGCAGGGTTTGGTCTTCAGAGTTAAGAATTAAAGAATATCTGGAGGATTAGTGGTAAGTTTTTGTTGTGGTTATACTAAATTAGCTCTTAATCAATCCAATCGGTTATTTTTGGCAATAAGAGTTGTTGCTCTGAAAATGGATTGTTCTTTTCTCTACCATAAGCCGTCTCAGTTTTAAACATTTTAGCTATACATCCAACCGGCAAGTGCAGACGGTATGTGACCACGCCCATCCAGACAGCCATCATCTGTAGACTGCACCCCAATGGGTTCATGACCGGACTGCAGTTCTTCAGTGGGCACTGGATGGCGTCTGCACATTAGAGAGGTGTAATATTCACGGATGAATCCTGTTTTTTTATGGTTCAGGGCGAAAAGTCTTGTGGGTTGCTTATTTCAATGTAGTTGTTATATGGTATTGACAAGAACACAAGTTCATTTCGGGGCGACAGTAGCTCAGTTGGTAGAGCATTGGCCTTTGGGCCTGGAGGTCGTGAGTTCGATTCCCACCATGGGACCTACTCCAACTGCTCCCACTGGTGACTGCTGTCGTTGTGTCCTTGGGCAAGACACTTAACCCCACGTTGCCTGAAGCCCCCCGCTGAAAGATCAAGGCTGTTTCTCAACTGATGGAGCAGCCATCTTCCTCATTGCCACCCCCCCGACCCAGAAATGGACAAATAAAGGGGTTGAAAATGAAATGAAATGAAATGAAAATGAACAAGTTCATTTCATTGATGGCGTTTGGAATGCACTGAGATACCGTCTTGAGAGATGTTGCATCATGATAATGCACATGCCCATATTGCAAGGCTCTGGGCACAATTCCTAGATGAAAACATTCCAGTTCTTGGTGCTCTGAATCCTTCATTATCATTTGCTGGTAACAGCAGGTTAGTCTTTCCTCATAAACCCATGGGGAAATCTACAAATCTTTGTATACAAGTCAAGAAACTAGGAAAAACTTTGCCCCAACCAATACTGTAAGTTACTTTTGAGTTTTGAAGACTCTTTTTCAAAATATTCATTTAACTAGTTTTATGGAAATGGTGATGTGATGTCCATAGAGCTCTGCCATTTTAAGAAGTCCAATCCGTCATGGTGTATTGTGTGGAAGTCTCCACACCGGCTCTGGATCGATCATAGGGGACATTTAGCCACGACACGCTCCATTATGCGGCTTTGCAGGGGTCATCAGGACCCCCCAGCGGTCCTGTCCAAATGTAGACCTCCTCACCCTTGACGAGGCTCAGGTGGCTGCCGGTTTCTCCCAGGACCTGTTAGCACGTCAGCAGGTCTCCCAGATCGCTAACTCAGTCAATCACACTCTCTGTGCACTCTGGACACGACTAGAAAATGTTCATGTTTTCTCTTTACGATGGAGAGTTTGTGAGTGTTTTACAACTCTGACAACATCTGGGTTAAAATGAGTTAAAATGTCATGTCCTTGGATCTTTTCGTTGTCAACCACATTAAGCTAAAGTATCTTTATACAGTGTGCTATATGTAAATGTAAATCTAAATGTGCCCTTTATTGTCCCCGTAGGGAAATTTGTTCTCTGCATTTGACCCATCCTGATGCCACTAAGGCTTACGTCAGGAGCAGTGGTCGCCGTAGTATAGCGTCCGGGAACCCATCTAAAGATGTTAATGCACGGCTTGGTCAGGACTACCAGAGCTGGAGGATTTTACCAAGTGAGCATATTTTTAGTGGTAGGGGAAACCGGAGCACGCGGAGCAAACCTAGGCAGACACGGGGAGAACATGCAAACTCCTCTCAGAAAGGCCCTGTTCTATATATATATATATATATATATATAAAAAAAAAAAAAAAAATATCCACTCACCTTTGGCCCTCCGCGGGCGGTTATCCCTCTCTAAGCTCGGGTCCTCTACCAGAGGCCAGGGAGCTTGAGGGTTCTGCGCAGTATCTTTGCTGTTCCTAGCACTGCACATTTCTGGACCGAGATGTCCGAGGTTGTTCCGGGGATCCGCTGTAACCACTCATCTAGCTTCGGGGTCACTGCCCCGAGTGCACGATCACCACGGGCACTACTGTCACCTTTACCCTCCAGGCCCTCTCCAGCTCCTCTCTGAGACCTTGGTATTTCTCAAGCTTTTCATGTTCTTTTTTCCGATGTTACCATCGCTTGGAATTGCCACGTCCACCACCACGGCTGTCCTCTGCCGTGGTATATATATATATATATATATATATATATATATATATAAATACTGTATATACAGTATGTATACATACATCTTCTATACTCTCTTTTCTCATTAAATATTATCTGATTTTTGAGACGCTATCCTCAGCTGTCACCAGATGTACCACGTATGAAAGACTTGACAATATATAAATGACATGATGGGACTTATAGGGGATACAATAGGTACAGTCAATTTTAAAGGGTATACAATAGGGGTGTAACAATGCATTGTACCATGATGCACAAATGTCACAATTACCCCCTTGCCCATTCTTGAGTGTCAGCGCTCCACTCCAATCAGCGGTGGCTGTCAACTCCACTATCTCTGCTCTGTTTTGCTGCAAGGCTCCAGGAGGAAGGAGATGAGCATGCGCACAAACCATGAGTTTATAAGTGTAAGTCCTCATTTAAGGCCAAAACACTGAGACAGACCCTTTCCCCTCCCACTCCAGTGTGTGAGTTGCTCTGCTCCTTTGAGGGGCGTGGGAGTGGGTTTTGCATTTCCTGCAGCAGTCGTGGTGGATTTGGCTGTCATCATTTAGATTTACATACTGTATATATGCGTGCTGAAAAAATCTTTACAAAAGCCTGAAGATGGATTCTGGGGCGTTGATGTCAAAAGTGACACATCTATTTGAAAAGATGGCATCAGAACTATAGATATGTATTTTATTTAAATTAAATGAATGAATTAAAATCACTGGTTACTAAAACAAAGCATAAACCATCTGCTGTAGACACTGTAACACAGACAAAATCCTACATAGTTTACCTTTAAACACATTTGCAAGCATTACATTTACAGATTTGCTCCCCTGTGCCATTTCTCTGTCATAACACTGAGAAATGTCATACATAACTGGCAAGCGATTGAGCAGACAGTTTGTGTGTTTAGAGATATGCCGCTGTGTCTCCCAAATGTCAATATTGTGTCGTCTGAACATCTGAGGCGCACTGCTGATTGGATTAATGAGGAATCGGCGCAAATATGTATCTATACATTTGTGTGTATGCAGCGGAATGACGGCCGAGCAGAAACAACTTTAGAACAGGCCATTACAGTGATATATGGGGGTGGCACTCAGGATGTCTAAATGCATCCTTAGGCGTTATTCCGAGCAGCTATGACTTTGAGGATACACACACACTTTATCATGGCACTCATTTAGACAGCTTCCTTAAATGACTCCAGTGCCACGGCTGTTGTTTTGATTCGAGCGAGCTTACGATGCAGTATTCATGATGAAGGATAATAACAGCCAATTCAAGTCTTTATTTGTGTATTAAATGTATGAAGCAATGGAGCCAGACAGGGCCCACCCACCTCTGGTTCCTAAAGCTGGGAAGCTTCATCAAACGGAAGAGTGAGTTGTTGTTCCCCTTTAAGTATGGCATCACAATCTCTTTTAAAACAGGGATGTCAAAGTCTAATGCATTCGAGAGCCCATAACCACAAATTTGCTACAAGCTGAGGCCCGGACTGGTTCAATATTTATTAAAACATATTTAAATGATTGCATAAAACCAAGCCTGGCCATCCGTACACTCCGCTCAATCTTAATTTTACTGCATGTAACGTCTGAGTCCGATCCCTGGGTTAGCGATTACAATCGGTTGAATTTCGACTGACCTACCAGCGAGCGCGGAAGGCAGGTGTTGCAGTTAGTTGTGGGTGACGTCAAGAGTTTGCATCGAACGGGAAAGTCGTAGTTTGGCAATGGCGAAAAATGCAATAGTAAAGTAATCCGGTCTGGTTCTATCAAGAAAATGAAGCCGGAGCAATAGGAATGTTTTGCAAATGTATTCGCTAGAATAAATTGTGGCACTAATCCCCTGGGGCTCCGTTAGCGGCAAAGGCGATGGCTGGGCTAAATGCTAAATGCTAAGGAGTTAACCCCTCCTATCTGTAAACCGAGCTCAATGGAGCACCTCCAGACCTTAGCACGAAATGTAATTTGTACTATGGTGTGGTACGACCAGGCTACATATAACCTATTGAACCAAGATTGTTCCCACTGATAATCAGAGTGAACAAGTCGTCAAAGGCCAACCCTAGAGGGCTTCACTAATTGTCCAGATATTTGTTTGTGCTGCAAAAGGGTTCTCAAATAAAAAAAATAGCCTCATGGCTAATTCTGGTACATTTACAGTAATGTTCATTAATATACACTGTCCCTATCAACAAAACACATAATAAAAAAATGCAATGTAATTAAGTGTTTGTCATGCCTGTGTGCACTTCCAGTTCCACCTCTGATAACAAATCAAATGATAATGAACGTACAAATAAAAAGACAAAAAATCTAATCTAAACCACCAGATTTCCCAGTTCTGGCCCCAAACCTGCCTTTGCGTTGGCATTTCATGTTTTAGAACTTAAATTCTGCATGTGGGGAGAGAAAACCGACATAATTGAATTCGTACCAACTCCTTTATAATCTACTTGAAGTCAGAACTGCTATCTCCTGACAACAGTGGGAATAGATAATGAGACAGAAACATACTCAGAACGGGCCTGAAGAGAATTGGGAAAAAGAACGTGGCAAAAAATATCCCTGCAGCTCCTTCTTTTCATATCGGCAAAACACACGAGCGTTCTGTGAGGGGGATAGGGCAACGGTTCCTGATGTTCTAGTTACTGCTGTTGATTTGGGAATAATGTTGTAACAGTA